TAATGACGGCTGGGAAGGCGTGGCTAGGGAGGTCATGTGACTGGTGGAAGTGAGTGACATTAAGTTGGCCACACCCACCCAGGTTTTGTGGCTCCTGGTGTTTTTTTTTTTCTGTGGGAAACTGGTCCAAATGGCACTTTGAGTGCTTAAGGTTGCAGACCCCTGCCTTGAATAAAAGACAGCCACCTTAGGGTAGTCCCAGAGAGTCCTCTGACTCATAACTCCTCCTTTACCTTCTCTCATCCCACAGATTATGCTTTTATTCCCAGCTTCTAACAATACTGTCATTTTACTTTCATGTCATTTTCACTGAGTGGTTGTCCAGGCATATCAAACGAAATCCTTTCTAGGTGGCTCAAGTGGCTAAGATTCACTGAGCTTGTCGATCAGAAAGGTCGGCAGTTCAAATCCCCAGTACAGGTCTGCTGCGTGAGCAGGGGGTTGGACTAGATGACCTCCAAGGTCCCTTCCAACTCTGTTACTGTTACTGTTACCATCATCTAAAAACATCTAGAGCTGGCTGAACTAAAAGAGGAACCCAAATGTCCATAATACCTTCAAGACCTACATTAGATGCAGCTTACTATGCCTCATATTGAAGCTACAGGGAATGGAAAAATATGTATCTACACAAGGCAACCATGAAAGGAACAGAAGTATCCATTAATAAGTCAGTCTCAGCATAAATCTTGCTTGACATAATCTTGGCTCCCATGTGTGAAATGTGTCTACAGCTTCTCCTTTTCTTCTGCTTCCCTTCTTCTGTCTCGTCTCTGGTTCCCACATCTTCAGGGCAAATTGTTTTATCTGTTCTTTGAAGCAGCCCATCTTTTCAAGTTGTAAATGGAGAATTTTTAACACAGGCCTGAATGCTCTTTGACGACAGAACCTGCACTTTCCGTGCACTTGGAGTCCTCATTGATACCCAGATTGTTCTTATAGATCATGGGTGTCAAACCTGCGGTGTCACATTGCTGTCATGTGATGTTTCACAATGTTTTTCCCCTTCACGGAGCTGGGTGAGCGTGGCCTACGTGTGACGCATTTGGCCCGCGGGCCACCAGTTTAACACCCCTGTTTAGGACAGGGGTCTCCAATCTTGGCAACTTTAAGCCTGGTGGACATCAACTCCCAGAATCCTTTGCTGGCTGGGGAACTCTGGGAGCTGAAGTTCGCCAGGCTTAAAGTTGCCAAGGTTGGAGACCCCTGTTTTAGGACAATGTCAGTTCTATCTGGGATCTAAGGTGACACAATCCAGGGACAAGCATACTTTTTTCTGAAATTGGCCCAGATTGAAACAAATTTCTCTCCTGGGAATAAAAGGGTACTTTTTTGGAGAAAGAAGTCTGGTTGTTATAGTTTAGAATTGCAAATGAACAAATACTAACTGTACGTATTTACAAATCCATTCTGGTCAGATTCCTTCTCAGAAGTTGAGGTTCTTCTTTAACCAGATAGGTTTAGTGCATGGTTTTTCAACATACCACTATTTGTTTCACGTTATTCAAATATACAGTATTATCAGTATGGGGGCAGTTCAGAGGTGCTATTCAGCAGGTTCTGGAGAACCAGTAGCGGAAATTTTGAGTAGTTCGGAGAACCGGCAAATACCACCTCTGACTGGCCCCAGAGTAGGGTGGGAATGGAGATTTTGCAATATCCATCCCCCAGGAGTGGGGAGGGAATGGGGATTTTGCAGTATCCTTCCCCTGGAGTAGAGTGGGAATGGAGATTTTGCAATATCCTTCCTCTGCCATGCCCACCAAGCCACGCCCACAGAACCCGTAGTAAAAAAAAAATATTGAATTCTACCACTAGGGCAGTTTGCACACTGGTATGCATTCAATTGATTGAGAAGTTGCTCAGTGGATGGCACCTGTCACCAGCATCAAAAAGCAAACTAAACACAATGCTAAAATGTAAGATGGTGGGGAAATTAGGTTGTACATCATGAAATCTTATTTTGCAGAGTCTATGGTACTCTCTGAGCTTGATTGTTTGCTTGCAGATGTTTCATTGTTTGCTAGTGAGTGGGGTTTTCTCTCTGTTTATATACATTAGCTTACCCTGCCACTATTGGTGGGGGTTATGGTTTTCTCAGTAGTTCCTTGATTGGGGTATTGCTTTCTGCGTGATTGATATTCTCATGTTAATCCCCACTTATCTAAATGCAGTGTGCTGGAGAGGATGAGTTCTGGTCTTTTTGTTTCCTTCTTAGCTTTTGCATTGTCTCTTTTCCGCATTGTCACAAGCACTGATGATGTGACCTAATCAGGTAATGAAACATCTGCAAGCAAAGAACCAATCTCAGGGAGCATCAAGAAATCCACAGTTGAACCCTGAGCTAGAAAGAGTGCAGAGAAGAGCAACAAAGATGATTAGGGGACTGGAGGCTAAAACATATGAAGAAGGGTTGCAGGAACTGGGTATGTCTAGTTTAAAAGAAGAACTAGGGGAGACATGATAGCAGTGTTCCAATATCTCAGGGGTTGCCACAAAGAAGAGGGAGTCAAACTATTCTCCAAAGCACCTGAGGACAGGACAAGAAGCAATGGGTGGAAACTAATCAAGGAGAGAAGCAACTTAGAACTAAGAAGAAATTTCCTGACAGTTAGAACAATTAATAAGTGGAACAACTTGCCTGCAGAAGTTCTGAATGCTCCAACACTGGAAATTTTTAAGAAGATGTTGGATAACCATTTGTCTGAAGTGGTGTAAGGTTTCCTGCCTGGGCAGGGGGTTGGACTAGAAGACCTCCAAGGTCCCTTCAACTCTGTTATTCTATTTCTATTCTATTTCTATATATTCTTTTCTGTTTTTAAACTTTATTTTCTTCCAATATTACCCTTATGAATATTTTCTATAGTTGCAGTTATTAGTTCTGGAATGGATGCTGTAAACAGAACTAACAGCTACAGGAGGGAAAGTTATTTTGAACTGTACCACTGCTTTCAGCTCCAACATAACTATTTTATAATGTGTAGCTTCTAATAATTTTATTTTTTTAAAAAACAGTAGCAGTTCAAATCGTACATTTAACATTCTAGCATCCTATACATGTTTAGTCAGAAATAAGTTATGTAAATAAGTTCTGTGAATGTAAACAAGTACATTTTGATAGTATCCTTTTGTGAGAAAAACAACTTTAGAGTAAAGTGTTTTTAGATAAAGTCATTGGTTTAATTTTAGACTGTTGCTAGAAAATAACCACCTCTTCAGTAAGGTTGCTAGTTTAAATTAAAGCAGAATCTTGGTCTTTGCTAAGCTATTAAGTCTAATATTATGGCAAATATATTTGTTTTGTGTATCCTTATCAAATGCTATAAATGCTTTGCAGTCTTCATTGTTTGCAGCAAAACAAAAAATATAATGTCTTGCTAATTTTTAAACTAGCAAGTTTAAAACTAGTAAAACTAGTTTTTAAACTGTTCCAAGAATGTTTGCTGTTTCGGTTCCTGAATCTTATTGCTTTAATTTCATTTAAATTATCGTCCATAGAATATAATATTATCAGTCATACTTCAGTGTGCAGTAAAGATAAGTCTAAAACAATTCTCTTTTGGTTGGTGGTTGAGAATAATGTTTACATTATCAACATAGGTTGTTTGATTATTTTGCCTACGTTCAAATTACTTTGCAATCACCAGATCACAGTGGGTTTTTTTTCTATCTGATATGCAAAACATTTAAAAGAAATCGCCAAATTATAGCCATCATTAAGAAAGACCCCAGGATTGGTGCCATAACAGTAATTATGAAATTAAAAGCATCAAATTTTGTTAGCAGCATTGGTAGAACCAATTATGGAAGAGGCAATTTCCCCCACCACCAAAACTCCCGTTCAGCATCAAGGATGTGAAAGTGTGTTTCATGTACTAGTGAAAGATTTGTGTAATTTTTTACAATGCCTGTAATATGCTGACAAAGTAGAGAGGAAGGAAAGGAACTCATATAAGGTCTTTTGAGTTGCAAGGAAAGTTTGGAGGAACTAGGAAAGTTTTAGTTCAAGGAAGAAGCTAGCGTTTGTGGGAACATCATAACAAGTTTTAACTTTGTTAATGGCTGCTTGGGGCAGGATGCTTATCAGATTTTTCCCCCCTCCTCTCTGCCAACTACCACAGATCAAGATATGGTATGGGTCTCACACTGGGAAAGATTGTGTAGCCAACAATTGTTCATCCTTAGATAGCACAGTAGAAGCATCTCCACCTGGAAACATTTTCAATACTGGGCAGAAATAATGAACATTGAAAGGCTTCTAGTTTTACTAAACCTAGGTAATATAATAGAATTGCTTAGGGTGAGAAATTAATAGCATTGAAATCCTATAAACAAAATTAGCCCTGTGCTTTCTGAAATCTTCTGCATGTATTTAGACACACCTACAGTATATCTATATACGCTCAGTTCTGTAGCTGAATTTAAGTTCTACATTAGTGAATGTTAACGTGGTATGTTAAGAGTTGCCTTTTACATGACCGACTGCAGTCAGATTCTTGACATTTCTAATTTGAACTTCATCTCTACAATAAATTTGTGAACTGCTCCTGTGGGGGGGGGGGGAGGGAAGCGATTCATTCAACCTTATCTTTCCATGTGCAATATGCAATAATAAACTGGAGCATCACTTGAACACCATTGGCATTGACAAATTCACCATCAGTCAATTGCAAAAGGCAGCTTTAGTCAGAATAGCTTACATCCTGTGACAATACCTCCTACGTCATCAAACATCAACATGTGCCTATCCCAGGTGCTTAGGATGGAGTCAGTAGGTAGATTAAAATGCCAAATCCATTCTGAACATCTGCGTGACTGTGCAACGAACTGTAATAATAATAATTACTATGTATCTTTAAGAATGGTTTAGGACAACATATGCAAAAAAAGTACTTTGAACACTATAATATAAAAATGGGTGCATTCCTAATGACTTTATCTACATCTGTCTTCCATACATTCTGGAACAATTTTCATGGATGACTTAATTTTTTTTTCAGATGGGCAGCAGATTTGGGAGATGGAGGCCACAGTGGACAAAGACAAGAGCCAATCTGTAAGTTCACTCTATTGTTAGCCACAGAAACACAATCTTCCTCTTTGTATGAAAAAGAATGGTTAGTAAATTATGTTCTCCTGTAATGCCTAACATTATTTACTAGTGCTTCCATAATGTATTTATTTATTTGTTAATAAGTACAAGGAAACAAGTAACAGTATAGACATAGACATGGACACATTAAAAAAATTGGCACAATTAAAAGGATATAAATAGGCAAAACATAGCCATAAACACATAGAATGTTTACATATAAATGGGGACAGTAGGACAGGGAAGGTAGGCACGCTGGTGCGCTTATGCACGCCCCCTTAGGAACCTCTTAAGAAACATGAAAGGTCCATGGTAGACAGTTTAAGGTAAAAGGTATGGGGATTAGAGAGACTAATAACAGGATCAGGTAGTGTTCCAGACATTTACTACTCTATTGCAGAAGTCATATTTCCTACAATCAAGATTAGAGCGAATTACATTGAGTTTGAATCTATTGATAGTCCTTGTGTTATTATGGTTGAAATTAAAGTACTCATTTAGAACGTTTTGGTAAATAATCTTATGAACTAAGCATAGGTCAGAACATAGACACCGTAGTTTGAGGCTATCCAGACCTAAAATTTCAAGCCTGATGGGATAGGAAATTTTATTTCGAGCAGAAGATTTGAGTATTTTTCTAGTAAAATATCTCTGGACCCTCTCTAATGTATTGATGTCTGAAATACAGTCAGGGTTCTAGGCAGGTGAATAGTATTCAAGTATAGGTCATATTCAACATTGGCCATAGTGAACAAGAATCTATTCTTGTATTCATGTGTTGTGGATGAGATTCTTATAAATAAAAGAAATATTAAAACTAATAATATAAATAATATTAAAATTAATTTCTCTAAGGTTGAAACTTCAGATACTGTATGTCAGGTCAACGGTTTAAGGGGGGTTGCTTATAAAGGTACACACATACGACTATTAATTTAATAACTATTCAAAGTTATGACAGTGCTGAAAAAAGTGACTTACGATCGGTCCTTGCACTTATGACCGTCACAGTGTCACATGATCCAAATTTGGGGGCATGGAAACCTACATGTTTTTATTATGGTTGTAATGTTCAAGGGTCACATGATTGCCATTTTTAAACTTTCCAGGGGCTTGTGACAAGCAAAGATAATAGGGGAAGCCGGATTTGCTTAACAGCTGGTCCCAGTTGTAGTCATAAATCAAAGACTATCTGTATTTAGAAGATTATAGCCCAATAATCTCTCACTGATTGCAGAAATTAGGACTACCATATTTGAGCTGCAAAATCTAGACAACCATTACATAGCAGAAAATAGATGCAGAAAACACATTTCCTGCCATCTGTTGATCATCTGGATTTTTGCAGATTAGATATGTATGTCTTTTAATATTGAATTACTGACATTTTTATACTATATTGTCCCCAAAGTTAGTTGTTGTTGTTGTTGTTGTTGTTTTCAGAACATGCTCTTTGTAGAGATTCCAGAATATCGGAACAAGCACATTCGTGTCCCCGTTAAGGTGAATTTCTATGTTATCAATGGGAAACGGAAAAAAAGTCAGCCACAGCATTTTACCTACCATCCAGGTAATTTTTTTTTTATGGAAAGGGACTTGTAGCACAAACATTTGTAGGAACACAGAACTATTGGCTATGGCAACTGAATAGCAATACAATATACCCAAGGGCAATACAGTATAGCACTTGGATGGGAAATCACAGGGAATACCATGGTTGTAGAGCAGAAAAATTTAGAACTGCCTTGAAAGATGACAAGAGTGTTCCGAAAAATGAATAGATATCATGAAGCATCAGCAGTTGAGTTCAACTCAAAGAGGACATTACCTTCAAAACTAGATGGAATCTTTTTAGATTAGGTTGAGTTGAATACTAAGAGAAGAACCCTGGGATTTTCTAATCTCAAGGATTGTTTGTAAGTTTCCCATTTTGAGGAGCAATTTGTGCAATCATTTCGCCCAGGTTGATCATTAGTTTTCCATCTTGCTGTTCCTCAAAGCATCTTTATTTAGTTGCACATGTCATTTATATGGACATCCTTAGCAAATTGTGACTCTAGGCAGTTAACAGGATTAAAAACAAAACAACCAATGAACATGATCTTCTTGGCCAGAGCTACCAGCTTCCCTTCAAGTAGGAGCCACAAGTTCCAGATGCACACCTGCTATGTTTGAGGATGCTAAACCCATCCAGAATTTAAAAAATTACAATCTCCATATCTAGAGTCCCTAAAAACCACCGGTGCTGGATCTTTCTTGAGTTGAGCCTTATAAACTACTTTTTCCTCATCCAGGTAGCCACGGCCTTCAGATGCTGGGGGGAAATGTGACTTAATTGGCCTAGCATAGACCTCTAATCAGGATACACATTATTGATACATTAGTAATTTTTCTGGCAGCAGTCAGTTTGTTGTTTACATACACAGAGATCATTCAGTTCCATAATATTAACATATTGCATCACTTGATGCTGACTTTAATAGACAGAACCATATACTGTAAGCAATATTTTGTGTTGCTTGGCTTCGTGGAATTAAGTACCATGTTCAGCTGATTGTCATTATGTGCATAATGAGGGAGATCTGAGTTGCTATTGTTGTGGGACGGAGGCTGGACTCTAGGTCCCTGAGATAGGACATGCTTCAGAGCTTCAGTCTCTCTCCTTTCCACTTTATCATTTACATGAAAATGCTAGGTGAGGTCATTTGCCACCACAAGATGTGATATCATCATATGCCACCCATGGCCTGTCACAGGGAACCAATGTAGTGCTGACTGTGCAATTGGAAACTGCGTGGACTGGATGGAAAGAACCCACTTTAACTCAATCCTAGTATGATGGAGTAGATTTCTGCTTTTGTAACTCCAGGGTCAAGTGATATTACCCCTTGTAGCTGAACACATAAACTGAGTCCACCAAAAAGTATTTGAGGACAAGGCAATAGAAGGTGATATGAAAGTTCAAATTGTGGATGTACAGTAAGTCTTGAATCTGCCAGTAGATAAGTGAGTAATATCTGAAAACTGAATAAGCTGAAAACTGGTGGTGGGGAATTACAGTGTCAGAGTCATTCCTCTCTTTGACTGTCTATTAGCAGTTCTTTTAAAACTGATATCCTTTATATGCTTTGTTCCAGTGCCTTCCATAAAAACAGAGCCCATTGATGACTATGATCCAAGTTTAATCTGCAATACAGTACACAGTGGTCTGAGAACAGTAACACAGCCTTATTATTCACATCATACAATGGCCTCGGAGTCTCCTTCCTGTCTTGTGGCTACAATGGCTTCTTGCCAGCAATTGCATTCAAATCTCTCTTCTCCCGAATCTCAGTATCCTTCACAAAACCCAGGAGCTATAATATATCAAAGAAGCAAGAGTCTCAGTCCAAGCCACCTGGGCTACCAGCAGCCCAACTTGATGGGTGCCCAGGTGCCCATCCCAGATGTTCATAGGTCAGTGCTTGTGCACACAGGATCCCCTAGCCAGAGTTCAGCAATGCTCCATCATTCCCCAGCCAATCAGCCATCTTCTCCAGTGATTCATTGCTCTCCCACAGCCAATCATCAGATGAGATGTGAAAGCCATCAAGAGTTTCAGCATATAATGTGTAGTGAAAATTTCACATCCAGCGGAGTGAGGCCCCATCAACCTCAAGTCAACCAAGCACAAAGGTTAAGCCCAAATTCTTATCCTACTGTGATTCAGCAGCAGAGAACAGCCAAAAATGGACCACCAGTAAATGATCAGAAGGAAGTGGTATCAGCTGGAGTCACTGTAAAACAGGAACAGAATCTTGACCAAGCTTATTTGGATGATGGTAAGCAATATATGTTTTATAAAATGTTATTTTCTCCCCAGATTGACCTTTGAAAGACATCCGTTTGACTTCTTCTTTCTTAGGGTGCAAACCTGTAGTTTGGAGAATACAAGTGGCTGCATTTGCACAATACAATAATCTAAAATTATAGAGTATCTTGGCATATTATTCATATACACAGCTCTGCTGGTCCATACTCCCTATGGTTTCTTCAAATTGGTTTCTTCTGCCAATAAAAAAAGAGCTTCAATATCTTTAAAATTATTAATGTGAAAAAGTATAACATTATAATGGAATTTAACTTCACCACACAAGGCAGAAATCATAAATTAATTTCAAGTCTTGATTTCAAATTCTGACTCTCATTGGAGTATCCCAAACCAGGAGTTCTGTTTTGAAGATAATTGCTATGTTATTCATTGCTAGTGACTTCTGGCTATCAAAGATGTGCTTGTTGAGATAAGGATCAGGCAAAGATTAATAAATTAAAATCTCCAAGATTCTCCTTTATCGCATTATTTATTTTGGGACAAAATTTTACATTGTATTTTGAAAGCTGGGACTTTGGCTTAAAACTACCATATTTAAAAAGTTTGCTCTTTTTAAAATTCTCTAAATATGTTTGCCTTTGGATCAAATTCCTTGACTTAATAATAGTACAAACCTAATAAATTTTTTATCTGTTTTAATGGAAAGCACAGTTTTACTGTTTAACTGCAATTGTCTAAGCACATTTAAAATACATCAGGATATGACTTGTGCCACAAATTAATTTTAACACCACTCAAACCATTATTATAAAGTATTTTTTATTAGATTTATTATATTATTTGCTTTAGATATATTGGCATGTTTTCTATGTCTATTTATTGTTTTTACTCCTCTTTTTGGAGTTTTTAAAATATATATTTTAACATTTTTAGCTTTTTATATAATTTAATTTTGGGGAGGTTTTTTTGGTTTTTTAATTGTTTTTTGTACCCCATTCCCCTTATGCTGGTCTTTGACTGTAATAAAGATTGACTTGATGGACCAAGCAAATAAATACATTGGATAAAATAAGATACTAATATTCAGGTTTTTAAAAGCAATATGGACCATAAGTATGGATTCTGTTTTTGTAAAATTCTTTTGAAGCATATTGAATGACAAAAGAACTTTTTGTTGCTAAGAGCAACATTTTTACTGTTTTTGTTTTTTTTTAATTTTTAATCACCTTGAAGGTTATTGAGATTCTTGGACGTGTGGAATGGCTAGAATTGAAATTGTCTGCCTTAGAGGTGGAGCATCTGGAAGGGTTTCAGCTCAAAATAGACATATTAAACCTAACATATCTGTTCATAGCATTATTATTACGTTCATGGTGCCCATCCTACACTTCCCAAATTTAAAACTATTCCACTAAATATTTTATTAAGGATGCAGTTGGCTTGTTTTTTGTTTTTTTAAAAAAAAATATTTGTAGAGGTATATACAATCTGTTGAAAGCATCATATTTTTTTACTAGGAATTCAGATATTTTCACTTAGGGGAAAAATAGGAAAATGGTAATGAAATGTCTACCCTTACAATGCTAATTATGGGGTCATTGTAAGCAAACAAATATTGTAAGTAACTCTTTTTCAGAGTTGTTTTAAAAAGAGTAGGTTTATTTTGCGTTCTCCATATGAATAAATAGTGCTCTGAAGAAGATGATTATGAGTTTTTGCGACAAATTTATAAAGTTTATTTTTAAAAAATTTTTAAAATAATTTTTATTAAACAGTTTTTTAAAAAACAAACAAAAAACAAATAAACAAACAAACAAACACAGATATTTACATCTTCTTTTCAACATCTTTGCATCAGTAATCCATATTTATACATTTTCTCTTTCTTATCTTAATATATATTTTATACATATATTTCTAGTATATCATATATATACCATTATAATATATTCTCTTAATCTAAATATTTTATTTACATTTAACATAAACAGTTACCTAGTTTCCTTTCCAGAATTTATATCTTCCCATTTGTTTTCATATTCCTCCACCTAATTTAACCATTGTTTAGTTTTCTTTTGTTCCCCCCCCCTTTTCCCCCCTTTTTCTTCCAACCATTTATACCATTTCTCCCAGACTAAGTAGTATTCTGTTTCATCTTTTTCTTGTATCTCCTTTGTGAGCTTATCCATTTCCGCACACTCCATAATTTTTCTAATCACCTTGTCTTCTGATGGTATGTCATCGTTTTTCCAGTTTTGGACGAAAACTATTCGTGCTGCTGTAATTATGTGAATAATTAAATATCTTATTTCTTTTTCATATGGCCCGGTAATTATTCCCAGTAAGAAAGTTTCTGGCCTCATTTCTATTTGTTGATTTATAATTTCTTCTATTTGTGTTTTAATTATTTGCTAAAATTGTTTTGCCTTATGGCAGGACCACTACTATGGAGGCACAAATTTACCCAATTGCTTTAGATATTGGTAAAATGAAAACTTACAAAGATCTGTTGGATAATCAAAGGGAAATAAGAACAAGACAGGAATTGAAAGAATTGGGTACAGACATTGATTGGTGGCCCTATATGCAAATAAAGTCTAGATACAAGACAGATTTGGCACAATTTGGATTTCAAAAGGGAACATATGAATTAGATAAAATTCTGCATGGAAGAGAGGATAAATTGATATAAAAAAATCTATAACTATTTATTAAGATATAAATTGGAAGAAGAAGTAGTTAAAGGAAATATGATAATTTGGGCGAAAAATTTTGGATACAATATTAAATTAGATAAATGGGAGAAATTATGGAATATAAATTACAAACTAACAATGTCTGTACCCTATAAAGAAAATATGTATAAAATGTTTTATAGGTGGCATCTCCCACCTGCCAGATTGGCAAAGATGTTTCCAAATACCTCCCCGCTATGTTGGAAATGTAAACATCAAAAAAGAACAAATGTATAAAGTTTATTGTGCCTCCTATTCTTGGTCAATATTTCACTTCAGAACTAAATAAAATTCTGAATCGTGCAAAACTGAACGAAAGCTATTATTTAGGACTTCAGGTTTAAAACTGATAAATTCTTGGAGACATGAACCTTCTCTTGTTACTCATTCTCCTGAAGAAAGCTTTCATGTATTAAGAGTTTGAATGAAGCAATTTGTTGACCTTTGATCACTGAAAGGAAGAGTTATTTCCTAATAAATTTGGACTGGTTCCCCTTTGTGATTTTGGATCTGCTTAAAAATGCTCATGAGAATTGACCCTGGGTGACTTGGGGAGCATGATTTCAGAAGATGTTCATTAGGTTATATGCTTACAGATAGACAGGTTCCTAACAAGTTTGGCTTAAAAAAATAATAAATGCAGTAATTCTGTTTTTGTCCTCCTCTTTGTGTGTGTGAGAGAGAGCTGGAGAGGAGAAGAGAGAAAGAGAGAGAAAGAAAGAGAAAGCGAGAGAGAAAAGGAGGGAAAGAGAGAGAAAGAGATGGAGGGAAACGGGGGAAGAGAGAGAGAGAGAGAGAAACAGAGAGAGGCAGAGGGAGGGAAAGAGAGGAAGGGAGAGGGAAAGAGGGAGGGAGACAGAGA